AATGGCATGAACCCGGGAGGCGGAGCTTGCAGTGAGCCCAGATCGTGCCACTGCACTCCAGCCTGGGCGACAGAGCGAGACTCTGTCTCAAAAAAAACAAAAACAAAAACAAAACAGCATACTCAAAGCACTTAGCACAATGCTTACTTACAGGCATGCTCATTCAAAGAATTCCCTTACACCAACCTACTATAGAACTGAACACTGGATCAATACAGTGAAATCTGTGATCCAGATTAAGAGGAAAGGAAGAGAAAGGAAGCCCTTCATCCTTCCTTTCTAGCTCTCTATAAACTGTGGCCTTTTCTCCCACCCACATAGCTCTGTTCTTTGCTTCCTAGCAGCTATAAATTTGACTCAGTAGACTTATTTCTAGAACCCCTGAACCCTTGTATTCATGACCCACGTATGTGGTTCCAAGAAACTAAAAAAAACCCATGCCTGAAAGAGAAATCCTACATCTCCTTCTCCTCTGCCCCTGTGGTATCCACCTCCCCAGCTGGCCCTACTGCCTACTCAGACAGTTTCTCCCTCATTCAGGGGTTCCCACTGCTGCAGCTTCCTCAGCCTCAGCAACTGCCATCAACATTAGTGCTTCTCCATTTAAAGAGAGTCTGGCATCAAACATTAAAGAGGCTGAGCAGCATTCTGCAAAATAACTGAACAGTACTCTTCAAAAGTGTCAATGTCATAAAAGACAAAGATCAAGGAACTGTCATATACTGAAGGTGACTAGAGAGACATAAAAAATAAAAAATGAAAATATGGGATCTTGAGTAGGATCTTCACCCAAAAAAAGGACATTAGTGGGAAAACAGGTGAAATTTGAATAAGGTCTATAGATTAGACCTAATAATATTCTACTGATGTACTGGTTTCAGTAATTGAACCATGGTTCTATATAATGTTAACATTAGGGGATTTATGGGAACTCTCTATACTATTTTTGCAACTTTTCTTCAAAACAAATAAAAGTAAAATAAAGTTAAAACAATTTTAAATGTGATTATTTAGGACTTTATTATGAAAGAACCTCTGTCCCAATGGACTTGTTAAGTGATATATTATTGTGAAAGAGTGCAACTTATGTGAGCCAGGAAGGCCATCACACAGGTTAATGAAAAGTCAATTCCAAGGTATAGAAAATCCTCCTTAATCACCACTGAGTTTGTAAATCACTAAGAGAGTATAATGCCACCTACATATACTGAGGACTTGATGACAGCAAATCATATTTTGTGCAATCAGTAATGTTATTAAGTAAATATAGCTACTGAATAACATACTTAAACAATACCTCCACTGTGACCAACTTTTTACAAGAAAGAAAGAGACAGTGAAAAATAAGAAAGATATGCAAAAAAATAATATGCACCAACCTCCCTCTGCCAGACATCCCACGCTATAGGAAACAACACTGGTCAACCAACTCTGAACAAAACCCCTTCCAATAGAAAGGACAGTCTGCTTTGCTATAGTGTATGTTTCTGCAACATGAATTAACATAGACAACTGGTAAATGGAGAAAAGATTTCAGTGTGAGGCAGAAGTTACATTGGTTCATATGTAATTTTTTTCCCAGATCATTAATGTTTTGCTTCATTAGTAAAGGCAACTGAAGGCTACGTATACTAATGGCAGCAAACCAGGAAGCAATCAGTATTATACATTCAACCTTTCTCTTAGAAGTGCTATTGCAAAGTTAACCCTGATCTTTGTTTATAAATAAATAAATAAAACAAAGTAACACAAAACAATGAGGAGAGCATACAACTCTGGTATCAGAACATTTTGTACAAAGCTTACAAGCTTTTCTCTGTTTATGACTTCTGATGATAATGTCTTTCTGCCCTTGTATCCATAGACAGCCTCACCCCTTCCTTATACCACCTACCACTAAGCTGTCGCCACCTTTTATGTTTTAAGTAAAATACTACTTTTACTGCTGTTTAATTATTAGAAACTTTATGTCTTATAAACTGTGTTAGTATTTTTATTGAGATTGTTATTGTTTTCATCAGTGCTCTGGTTATAAAGTTGAATAAGCCCTACTGATTTAAGTAAGAATTTGCAAACTGCAAATTTTCCAGAAAAGCATAAATATTATAGTAGAAATGTTGTATTCCCACACATTCTGAATACACTGTCTCAAGATTTTTTTAATATAAAAAGGTTATACTTTTTTAATATAAAAAGGTTTTCAAAGATTACTTATCAATGAAGTATACTGTTAATATCAATTTCTAAACAAAATTACAAAGTATATTTTATAATTAGCTTTAAATCGAACATTTTAATGCACATTTCTGTATTCGTCACACATTTCTTAAATAGGATGCTCCAATGTAGTAACAAAAATTATCATCTATGTTAAAACATGTATTGTGTAAGAAAAGCAAATATTCAATATTTGACATAAATTAAATGTATACTATGAACTGTGATCAAATCAACATCAATCTTCTAAAATGAAGCAGTTTCTAACTTGTATGAAAATACACGGATATAGGCTAGAAAGCATTTTTGCTCATAAGACTAAAAAGATACTTTTTTTCAGACAGGGTCTCACTGTCACCCAGGCTGGAGTGCAGTGGCACAATCACAGAGTACTGCAGCCTCGACCTCCCAGGCTCAATCAATCTTCCTACCTCAGCCTCCCAGGTAGCTAGAACTATAGGTCCATATCACTAAACCCAGCCAATGTTTGTATTTTTTGTAGAAACAGGGTTTCACCATGTTGCCCGAGCTGGTCTCAAACTCCTGGGCTCAAGGGATCCACATACCTTGGCCTCCCAAAGTGCCAGGATTACAGGCCTGAGCCACCTGACCCTGACCTAAAAAAAGACTTTAAATAATGCTAAAGAAGAATTTAGCATCAGATTTTTTGTTTCTTTCTCAAAGTAACAATATTGCTTCATGATCATCTGTTGTTAAATATGTAATACTAGTAACTAAGCATTCTTTTATGTAAATGGCTCCTCCTAAAAACAAGCACATGAAAGTTTGTGTTATTTGTACATGACAAAGATATAGCACATAACTGAGTCACTAAAAACACAGTCTGGGCCGGGGGCGGTGGCTCACACCTGTAATCCGAGCACCTTGGGAGGCCGAGGTGGGCGGATCATGAGGTCAGGAGATCCAGACCATCCTGGCTAACATGGATGGTCTCGTGAAACCACCATCACCATCACGGTTGGGTGAAACCCGTTTCTACTAAAAATACAAAAAATTAGCTAGGCATGGTGGCGGGTGCCTGTAGTCCCAGCTACTCGGGAGGCTGAGGCAGGAGAATGGTCTGAACCCAGGAGGCGGGGCTTGCAATGAGCCAAGGTCACACCACTGCACTCCAGCCTGGACAACAGAGCGAGACTCTGTCTCCAGAAAAACAATACAGTTCAACTGGAATAGCTATAATTTATATATCAATCCCAATATGAATAGAATATTTTTGAAGTTAATGTATATAATAAATATCAGTCACTATGAATATTTACATAAAAGAGTAATGTGCTCTTTTTAATATACTCCATGATATGGCAGGGTACTTTTATGAACCCATGCAACCTTGAATATCAAGCAGCCTTGTTTTATTTTTCAATTATCTATTCAAGTCCACTTGGTTAGAGATAGTGAGCATGTTTCTCACAGGGAAAAAAAATACTGCACAATTGTCTGTGTATAGTGTGACCTCTTTCACTTGGGTGGGTATCCTTTCCATCACCAACTAAGTGAGGATGTAACCTTGTCAAACCAAAGGCAAAAGAATAATGAGCATATGACAGGCTAACCCGCATGGAAAAGGTTGTTCAGGAGGTTGCAAAAATAGTACTCTGAATGACAAAATAAAAGTACACTTCAAAGAGCAGGTGAATATTTTTAAAAGCACTCAAAACCTGAGAAGCATTTAATCCCCCTCCTTGGATGTCTGCCATAGAAAACTCCACTTGAATTTATTTCATTAGTCACTAACCAGAGTTGGTTAATATATCTTCAAATGAATACTGGTAGAATAGTCTTGAAAGAAACACATTTATAGAATATCTATTTCCACAAAGCACTAGCCAAAGTTAAGTACAAATAAGCAGACAATGTCGTGCTTTTACCAAACAATTTTAAGTTACCATCTAACAAGAAAAAAATCCTTCCAATTCAAGAATCAGAAATACAAATGGGAAAGGTATTTACCCAGTAGCAGGTTTTTACTGTAGCCAAATCAAATGGCAGTAACACTGCTACATTAATTGTTTCTCCTAACTGGCATAACAGGGAATCATACTATAACATTTTTATAAGTATTTGAAACCAGAAGAAATTAGACGAGTTTGGCTGAGTCTTCCTAGTGTAAATTTACTTTTAAAGCAAACAAACAAAAATCTCCAAACCATTTAAGCATGTCCTAGGACTACGTATTATATCATTTTGTCAGTTATGCACACTTTGACATTCCTTTTCTACATTAAGACCGGAATGAAATTTTTGATCCTGACCAGTCACAATATTGTAACAGTGAAACAGTGCCACCTTTTGGCCCCAAACAGAAGCATCCAGTACTAGTCTTTCAAACTTCCTTTTTCAGTTAAACTCCTGATGTACATAAATGTCAATGATTGTCATGTCATAATTATCACCTTCTAGGGATACTTTTTATCTATACAAACCAAGAAAACATTGGGGTAACAAAAAAGTTGCTTACCAAAATGCAAAATTTCAAAATATTCCAAAGTAATACTAAATGCATGTATTTTTAATAATTTCTAATCAACATTAAATACATTTTACCCAATCCAAATATGTTAGTCAATTAACATATTTTAAACACAAAAAAATCTTTTTAGAGCACTGTTACACTGCAAAATTGATTTTTTAAAAACACATTATATTTACCATGTATTCAATTTAATAATTGGCAGTATGATATTAACAATGGATTACCATTTCAATAAGCATAAGTATAAATAATTTTATATACAAATATAGTATGCTTCTGAGTTACTTACACCAATGATACAATGTCACCACGGTGTACTTCAAAATTCCTCACTTTCCAGTGGTTCAAAAGCACCACATCAGATGACTGGCTCCCCCCAGGATTCAAAGAAGGCTAGAAAATAAGGAGAAAGAGACACATCTATCATTTGTATTTTTCAATCTTCATGGTTCTTGCACTTCATAGCTCAAGTGGAGTGAAATAAAACATTTCTAATACAGTACCTTTCTATAAATTGCTGTTCTAAAGTAACTGCAAATGATGAGTTTTCAAAAAGGCTCATTGGGATTCTTCACAGATGAACCAGAAAAAAATAAATTGCCAATACTTATTTGAAAGGAACGTGTGCTAGATATTAAAATCTTTAGTAAACTCCAGTAAAGAGGTATGAAAAGCCTTAAGAATAATATAAAAACATGAGGAAGAAGTGAGTCAAACCTCCCAACAAAATATCCAGATAGAATCTAATTCCACAGTAGTACACATCATTGTTCCATCTGGGGAAAAGAAGAAATAATCCCAAATCACAGTCATCTCCACAAATCTTCACAGTCATATGAAGAACTGAAGAGGGCAAAAGAAAGATGTGATAGGATTATCATTATTAAATGTATGGATTTCCCAATTTGACCTCTCTTTTCTCAAAAGGGCACATGTCCTAAGGGTCCTGGTCCCAGTTTGAGCCTAATAAGGGGCTTTCATCCTAGGATTCAGAGAAGTCTAACTGTGCCTGAGGATTAATGGATCAAGAACTGAGAAACATTTTGTGTAAGAATTTTTCTGAAGGTCAGGAACCATACAGGAACAAAAATTTGATTGGGGAACTATGAAACCAGCATACCTGTCATTTGGACAGGGGTACAGACAAAGCCAATGAACAACAAGCTTGAGGCAAGAACAGAGGGACAAAATAATTAGAGCTAAGACAGCCTTTGCACTGTTTTTTAATTTTTTTTCATTTTTATTTCAATAGGTTTTGTAAGAAAAGGGGGTGTTCGGTTACATGAATTAAGTTCTTCAGTAGTGATTTCTGAGATTCTAGGGCACCCATCACCCGAGCATTGTACACTGTACCCAATGTGTAGGCTTTTATCCCTCATCACCACCCACATTTTCCCCCAAGTCCCCAAAGTCCAAGGTATCATTCTTATGCCTTTGTGCCCTAATAGTTTAGCTCCCACGTATCAATGAGAACATACGATGTTTGGTTTTCCATTCATGACTTACTTCACTTAGAATGATAGTCTCCAATTCCATTCAGATTGCTGTGAGTAACATTATTTCGTTCCTTTTTATGGCTGAGTAATATATATATGTGTGTGTGTGTATATATATATATCACATTTTCTTTATCCACTCGATTGATGGGCATTTGGGCTGGTTCCATATTTTTGCAACTGTAAATTATGCTGCTATAAACATGTGTGTGCAAGCACATATCTTTTTCATATAATGAGTTATTTTCCTCGGGGTAGATACCTAGTATTGCTAGGGATTGCTAGATCAAATGGTAGATGTACTTTAGTTATTTAAGGAACCTCCACACTGTTTTCCATCGTGGTTGTACTAGTTTACACTGCCACCAACATTGTAAAAGTGTTTCCTTTTCACCACATCCACACCAACATCTATTTTTTTTTATTTTTGATTATGGCCATTCTTGCAGGAATGAGGTAGTACTGCATTGTGCTTTTGATTTGCATTTCCCTGATAATTAAAGATGATGAGGATTTTTTCATATGCTTTTTGGTCATTTGTATATCTTTTCTTGAGAATTGTCTATTCATGTTCTCAGCCCACATTTTTTTTGTTGTTTTTGTTTGTTTGTTTGTTTTTTGAGATGGAGTCTCATACCGTCACCCAGGCTGGAGTGCACTGGTGCGACCTCGGCTCACTGCAAGGTCCGTCTCCCGGGTTCACGCCATTCTCCTGCCACAGCCTACTGAGCAGCTGGGACTACAGGCGCCCACCACCACGCCCAGCTAATTTTTTGTATTTTTAGTAGAGATGGGGTTTCACCATGTTAGCCAGCATGGTCTCCATCTCCTGACCTCATGATCTGCCCACCTTGGCCTCTCAAAGTGCTGGGATTACAGGTGTGAGCCACCGCGCCCAGCCGTAGCCCACTTTTTGATGTAGTTGGTTGTTTCTTGCTGATTTGAGTTCTGACTCTCCAAGAATGCTACCTTGGGAAGTGGCCATTTCTGTGGTGATAGGAAAGGTGCCAAGCAACAACTGAGGCTCTCCGCCTTCACTGAGGAGCTGATAACAGCAGCCAGTGGAGACACAACAGCAGCAACCGGGGCAGAAGCAAGGAAAACAGTGAACACAGGGCAGCAGCCAGTCCCTGGAGCAGTAATGGCATGCCTTTAGTTAAAGATTCCTGGAATTATTTGTAGATTTTCTACAAAGCAAGAGTTGACAAATATGTCAAAATTCTGCCTGGAGGCTATTATCCTGACACTGTTTTTGATCCAGGGTTTTGCAGCTGAAAAACGCTGGTTATCCTTGAACATCTCAAACACTTTGACCAACTCCTTTAGTGATAATACCTAAATCTCTAACTTAGTTTTAAATTCCCTGCTAGTCATTTCACTTGACTACCTGATAAAAAATTCAACAGGATTAAAATGGAATTTGTTATCACTTCCTAATAATAAAAAGGTTTTTTTGGTTTTTTTGTTTGTTTGTTTTGAGACAGTCTCTTCTGCCTCAGCCTCCCGAGTAGCTGGGACTACAGGTGCGCACCACTATGCCCAGCTAATTTTTGTATTTTTAGTAGAGACAGGGTTTCACCATATTGGCCAGGTTGGTCTCGAACTCCTGACCTCATGATCCACCCACCTCAGCCTCCCAAAGTGCTGGGATTACACACATGAGCCACTGCACTGGCCTCTTCTTTTTTTTTTTAAAGAGGGTCTCGCTCTGCCACTCAGGCTGGAGTGCACTGGCATGATCATAGTTCACTGTAGCCTTGAATGCCTGGGCTCAGTCTCCCAGGTCCCAGGTAGCTAGGACTACAGGTCTATAAGTGCATACCACCACATCCAGCTAAGTTGGTTTTGTTTTTTTTTTTTTTCCTTTTTTTTCTGAGATGGGAGGATCTTGCTATGTTGACCAGGCTGGTCTTGAACTCCTGACCTCAAGCAATCCTCCTGTCTTATCATCCAAAGCGCTGAGATTACAGATACGAGCCACCATGCCCAGTCCTTTCTTATTTTCTTACATTCGGTTTACCCTTTCCCAGTCAACCAGCTGAAAAATCTTTGTTATTGTTATCTTCTTACTTCTCATCCAACCAGTCAGCAAGCTAAAGGGATCTTTTTTTAATCATAATGTCTTCTACTTTTGGCACATGTTTTCTTTCCTCTCTAGCATCATCATACTTCAAGCACCAATCATTATGTAATTCATGCTATATCTACACTAATCAGTCTGTCACCTCCAACGTAGAAATGATTCCATTTCTTTCTAGTTATATGATCTTCAGCAAGTTACTTAACTTCATTATGCCATACATTACTAGGAAAATGGTGATGATTATTATCTAATTAATAATTAAATAATAATAGCCAATACCTACCAAGTACTCACCATGTGTCCTAGTCTAATAACAATAGCCAGATACATTAAGTGCTTACCATGTGCAAGACACTGTTTAAGGGCTTTACAAATATAGTCGACCCTTGAACAACACAGGTTTGAACTGCATGGTTCCACTAATACACAGATTTTTTTCAATAAAAGTTACACTGACTGTGCCTGCCTCTCCTGCTTCCCTTTCCACCTCTCCCACATCTGCCACCCCTGAGACATAAGACCAACTCCTCTTCTTTCTCCTCCTCCTCCTTAGCCTACTCAATATGAAGACAGTGAGGATGAAGTCCTTTATGATGATCCTCTTCCACTTAAGAAATAGAAATCTTTTTCTCTTTCTTATGATGTTCTTAATAACATTTTATTTTCTCTATCTCACTTTATTGTAAAAATATAGTATATAATACATATAGCATATAAAAATATGTGTTAATCTCAACTGTTTATGTTAACAGGAAAGCTTCTGGTCAAAAGTAGACTATTAGTAGTTAAGCTGTGGGGTGTGGGGCAGTCAAAAGTTACATATAAATGTTTGACTGCATGGGAGTTGGGTCCCTCACCCCGTCATTGTTCAGGAGTGAACTACACTACCTTATTTGGTAAGATCATTCATTTAAAGTGCTTATGGTAGTTCTTGGCCCATAGGTGACCTCTCAATAACTTCTATTATTGATATTACTACATCACAATTTTAATTTTAGGCAGGTCTGTACTCTCTACCCCCGGGATCCTCCTCTGTCTCTATCCCTAGTGAGGAACAGAGTCGATACGGTAGCATAAGTCCAAAGGGCTTTACTGAGCCATTGTGCTAGGGAACGGAGCTTTTGTCATCACAACAGTAGGTTAGATTATTAAAAGTTGAGCTTCCACAAGGGTACACTCTCTATTTCATTCATATTTCTCATTCAAATTCTCTATCTCCCTCTTCCTCTCTGTCTTTGACCTCAGTATCCACAGGTCCTCTTCCCTCATTTCTTTGTATTCTTCTTCCTATATAACTGACACAGTAAAGGTGACCTGGAGGGAAACTATCTGGACTCTGGACCATAAAGAGAAAATCCCCCTATTGTACTTTCACTGCATTTGGTTTTTCTTTTCTTTTTTTTTTTTTCCTTGCCATAATAGTGAGGGAACAAAAGGTGATTTAATTATTTCTGACTGTTCTTCTTGGTCTCTTTTACTGGTGGTTTTTTGTTTTTTTTTTTTTTTTGAAGTTTGTGACTGTAACTTGTAAGACCAAAAATCCCAAGTTCACCATCACATCCTATGATTATTTCTATCATAATATTTAAATGTGCATTATAATCATTCCCTTATTTCTCTAAGAGTCTATAAGCTCTTATTTTTTTAAGTTTTTAGACTTATTTTTTATGCCTATATTTTTGAGATCGGGCACTTTACAGGTAATTAACACATTTTAGTGGAAAGATTTTAAAAAATCAATTGGTGGAATTTCCAAAGATTTTCCAAATTAACAAGGTCAAAACAAAGATCCTATTCCAGCCTACTCCAGCCCC